CTCGTTCTTCTTGTTTCTCTTCTTTTTCCTCCAGCCACTGCTGTAATCTCTCTTCTTGTTTCTTTTCTCGTTCTTCTTGTTTCTCTTCTTTTTCCTCCAGCCACTGCTGTAATCTCTCTTCTTGTTTCTTTTCTCGTTCTTCTTGTTTCTCTTCTTTTTCCTCCAACAACTGCTGTAATCTCTCTTCTTGTTTCTTTTTTTTCTCCAACAACTGCTGTAATCTCTCTTCTTGTTTCTTTTCTTTTCCTCCAACAACTGCTGTAATCTCTCTTTTTGTATATTTTCCTGTTCGAGCTGCCACTGTTGCAGGTTTTCTTGTAACTACCGTTGTCTCTCTTCTTGTTTCTTTTCTCGTTCTTCTTGTTTCTTTTGTTGTTCTTGCATTGCTGCTCTCAAGTTTGCTAAGCTGTAGTTTGATTTACCACTTCTCGTTTCCATTTTTTTTTCCGTCCCACTCTCTGACACCAATTTGTTACGTCTCTGGTCGTTAGTTAATCTTCCGTAAAAATTATTTTCGAAGAAACATTAGCAATACAAGTTCTTTCTTAAATAAAACTAGTTTATTCTTTCTCAATACAACTTTGAAATCCACTTAATTTCCACAGTCACGCTATAATTCACAAAGAATGAACGATTCACGCGCTTCACTCAATTGTCGTCTCTATCTCTGTCTGCAATTCAATTTCATTGTTGCCGTCACTTCTTGGCGGTCTTATATACAAGAATACCGTACATCTAGTAAACACTCAAGGCTTCACGAACCTTCGAAAATATCATGAGTGTTACTAGCGTCACGTGACCTCCGATGTCGTAACAATATTTTGCAACGCGGCGATGAGTCTGTAGTTAGCCCGTGTGAAAGTGTAGCTGAAGTATTTGTTTATTTTAAGGTTCTTCCCAAATATAATAACTATATAACTAATCATATTTATAAACAAATAATAGAATAATTACCACTGGGTGCTAATTATTCACGAAGCATTGCTAATCTATATCTTTACTATTAGGAAATTAAATTTATGAATAATTTTTCAAATCTGGAAATATCTTCTTTAAGTTATATATATATATTAATGAATTAATTAGCATCAGTAATCCATTAATATGTAATTATATCTGTAATATTTATCCTACAGTTTTACAAAGCAAAAATATTTATATATCAAATACCAGAGTACATTATTTAGATTTAGATATTAAGATAATTAATAATTGTTGTAATATTAATATTAATGATAAAAGAAATGACATTATATTTCAAATTTTTAAAATTCCTTGTCAAACAGTAAAGTACCAAATAATACAATACAGAGCATCATACATTCACAGCTAATGGGGTATTGTAGAATTTATAACATTGAACATTTCCCAATTTCCAAAATTAATATATTGGTGAATGGGCTGATTTTTAATGGAATTAATAAGATAACTCTAATTAGATATTTAAGTACACAAAATATATATGTAAATAGTAACATAAACGAAATCGTAATAAACACAATAAGGAATAATTTCTAATTTTTGTAGGGGAAAATTACTTATTTGGACAGTATCTTGTATAGGTGTATTAATGTAGATGTATCACTTTCCCTATATAAGACCTGTTACTATGTAATTATTATGCAACCTTTGAAGATATTGACAGTAGCACCGATAGGAAGTATACTAACAATTTAGGTTGGGCTTGTATAGTAATAACTTAGTATATATATATATCCAAACATCATTATGGGGACTGGAATGTCAACTTGAAGGACAGATTTATGTACGTATTCCAATTATTTCTTTCTTCTTACTGAATTTATTTATTTGTAGTAACCACCTTCCCAGAGAGCAAAATGTGGTAGGTTGTGGGCTAGGGTACCCACTTCTGCTGATAAAGATGTGGTAGGTTGTTGGTTAGAGTAACCACATCTGTTAGTAAAGATGTGGTAGGTTGTGGGCTAGGGTACCCACATCTGCTGGTAAAGATGTGGTAGGTTGTGGGCTAGGGTACCCACATCTGCTGGTAAAGATGTGGTAGGTTGTGGGCTAGGGTACACACATTTGCTCTTCTTCTTCTCATTTTGTTTTCTTAAGAGAATGTTAGGCCTACAAAACTGGATAGATGATATACCCCGACACAACTTGGGTCTTACTTTGTCAGGAGATATTACATAATTACCTACCTTATGGTATGCGCCCAGGTGGTACATGTCACATAACTACCCACCTTATGGTGTGTGTTCAGGCAGTACTTGTCACATAACTACTCACCTTATGGTGTGTGTCCAGGATGTACATGTCACATAACTACCCTCCTTATGGTGTGTGTTCAGGCAGTATATGTCACATAACTACTCACCTTATGGTGTCTGTTCAGGCAGTATATGTCCCATAACTACTCACCTTATGGTGTATGTCCAGGCTGTACACGTCACATAACTACCCACCTTAAGGTGTGTGTCCAGGTGGTACATGTTACATAACTACCCACCTTATGGTGTGTGTCCAGGTGGTACATGTCTGTTTTGTAACTGCGTTCTTTCCTTCTTTCATGTTTTACGTAGTAGCACAATTAATTATATTTATTCTAAGGTTTGGACATGTAGTGTAAAATCACGCTATTTTTCCTTATGATTTAATCTTCTTTTTCATTATATAATATATATGGATATACAAGTTTGTAAAAATAATGTACAGACATACTTACAGTCATGAGTGATGAATGTATACTTTGTAACGAATATTTTCAAAATGTACATTCATGTATCATAATCTTTGTACAAGTGTCCTATTTATTTTGTTTATTTACGTAATCATTTGAATGAACATTTAGACATTCCACAAGTATTACTGAAATGGACCCTTGGAGTTATATAGAATAGACTTAATGTATTTCAAATAAGGATTCGTCGTGAAGATAGTGAAGACGAGGAATATTCTTCCTCTGAAGAAAATGGTTTTGTTTAAATGATTGAAATTTAAAGTCCTTTTCAGGATTACCACACCGTAAGTAAGAGATAGCTATGATTGTACATATCACCTCTACTGATGAAATACTTTCTCACTTACAGTATTTACAATAAACATATAAGCTAATTCTGTTAACGCTGTTGGTGTGTATGAATTTCCCTCTCGTCTATGGCTGCTAAATTAGGGAAGGCCAGTGCAGATACCCCTGTTGTAGCAAATTCAAAACAAACGTATATAACTTTTCAAGTATATCTACATAAACATAAAACTGTGCCTGATCTATGTTTTAGTAGCTTTTTTAAGGGTTCATATGTATTTTCTCTCAGGTTTATCATAAAACTTGAACAGCTGTCAAATCAGGTTTCGAATGTAATTGTTCAAAATATGTTACAACTGAGATTTAACACTGATTATAACTGACCAAACGGGTAATAATACTTGATGTTCTTTGTATAAGTGTGAAAGATAATACAACACATGTTATTAAAACGTTATTTGAAAATCTATTTTCTAAGATCTCACATTAAGTGTTTGTTTACACATAATATTACACAAATACGAAATATAAACTCTAACTGAAGTAATAATGTGAGCATAATATAAAATGGTTGTATAGAGTACTTATTGCAGATTGGTTTTTGAAGAGGTAAAACAGTAGTCAATTTTAGTCATAAAGTAGTACAAATTTATGAAATATTGTGAATTTCCCGAAATATGTAACAAACTTTTTAAAATTTATATTAATACATTTTGGAAAATAAAAGAGGATGGCCCTCTCACTGTGTTACATCAGCGGCAAAACAGGAATATGTTAAACAATATGCTGAAAAGGAAGATGTGAAACTGATTCATGAAACATAGAGTTTAATCTAGGCAGAAGATACGCTTTGAAATGTTATCTTAACTCATCCTTGATTTTTTAGGCATTTCTGAGATCAATCACAACTGACATACCTTACATCAGCAGTGAAAAGTTAACTGAAGACCAAAATGTTAAATGTTCTTAATCCTTCTCAGCATGCTATTACAATAAAGAATGATAGCAAAATATGCTGAGATATAAAAACACTATCTTCTACCCTATTTACACAAAAAAGATTCTGATTTAAACAGCCTACCACGTGGTTATTAAATCATTGATTTCATTTATACATATATTATATCATGAGAGGCTGTATATAGTATCTGGCTTTTACTTTTGAACAATAATTATGCTTTATGGAGTAAGAGTTAACGATCGTGTAGTAACTAGTTGGTAGTGATTTTACTGTCTTACGGATCACGTATAATACCGATCAATAAATACATAATGAATTTGACTGTCTTATAAACCATCCATGATACAGATCAATAAATACAAATTGGTTTACTGTCTTATAGACCATGTATGATAC